GGTGTTATGACTCATTTGTTTCTACATTGTTATAAAATAGTTTGTCTTTTTGAAGTTTCCCTAATGTTAATAGAACTAGTCCTAATAAACCGGGGACTTATGTGGGTTCACATGGACAATGGTAATTATTCTGCATCATGACTCTTTAAAAATAGATGTTGCCTGCTTGTCTTTCTCTAAAACTTTAGCAGTAATTCTTACAATTTCTTACTTCAATTTGCAGGTGGAAAAAGTCCTCTGTGAATGTTCACAGTGAGGGAAGCCTGTGTCTGTAGTTCTCATAGTACTAGGTCAGATCTCACGAGTAGATGAATTTCTGAACATAATATTCATGAGATGCTGTTTGGTTTGTCTTTTGGGCTTTGTGATTGAAAAAACTAAGTCTAATTTAAAAATCAGAAAGGAAAGATTAGATCACCTTAGAGCCCCGTGGCCAACAGTGGCTCAAATCCTGTCCCTAATGGCTTGAAGAACATGCTGGGTGTGTGTGCATGCATGCCCCAAATCCTGACAGGATGGAGAAATAGAGAAGGGATTGTGGTGTGACCACATACCATTTGGGGTTGCTTTTTCCCTCTCTGCCTGTTTCTCTCTGGCAAGTGCATGTGCTTCTGGCAATGAAAAAAATGGGAATGTCAAAGTAGAAATCTAGAGGTAAAATTGGAAAAATGACTTTTGTCCCCTTAAAAGTTGTCTTAGCACTGTCACGCCCAACTTTTAGAACATTTCTTTTCCAAACCAACTAGAAAGAGTCAAAGTGTAAATATGAGAAGGGTTAAAAATTAAGACTTTACTGATAGTGAAATATTTTACTTCTAAATGCATGGGAAGATGATAGTTTGGCTGGTTTACTGGCCAAGAAGGAAGATACAAATAGCAATGGTCATTTATGTCATTGTGGTAACTTACAGGAAAAGGATCGAATCCTTAGTTTGAAAACATTGTAGGCTTTCTTTTAAAGAGAAGCTTTTTTCAGCTGTAGCCTGGCAGCTCTTCAAATAAAATCACAAAGGAACAAGACACTATAAACAACCCTCCCATCCCCAAACAGGACTGCATAGACAAGCAGACGCTCATGGCCAAAGCTGTGTGAAGGCAGCAGGAAGGGCAGCCTCTTGGGCACCAGGATCCACAGTGAGCATACTGGCAAGTGTGAGTCCCAGAAAGGGTGACCTGGCAGTAATCCTCAGATAGTGGTATATTGGCAGGACAAACAGTAGGCACAGGGCCAGTTCACTTTTTTTTTTTGTAAAGATTTTTGCTATAGAGCTTATGTGCTCACCAGAGAGACAGACAGAAAGCAAGTTATCACCTTCTAGGGCCAATTTACTTATAGCCCTCTGTTTTCAAGAGAACTGAGGATCTGCTGGAGCTAGGAGAGTCTGGTATATATATAGAAAGGGCTGTTGCCAGGAGTGGGGGAGGGACCCTTGTCTTTACAAAATACAGACATATGCTGTGACCATCACTGTGTTTCTTTAATCTTCAGCACTGTGATCCCTTCTCTCATTTCTTTTTTTTTGGAGAGGTTTTTGCTATAGGACACATGCGCTCGCCAGAAAGAGAAAGAGAAACGGAGAGATAGAAAGCAAGAAATCACCCCCCAGGGGGGATGGCCATACCGTAATCCCTTCTCCATTCTCCTCTCGGAATCTTGGGCATGCACGGACACGTGCCCGGCGTGAATTTAAGCCACTGGGTCCGGGACTCAAACTGCGGTTGGCTACATGGGAGTTCAGTGACATAGCCATTATGCTAACTGCTGGTCTCTCTCATTTCTTTTTTTCCTTCATCTTCAGCCCTCTGTGAGATGACATGTAGGATTCTTTTTGTTCTCTCATTTTTAGTTTATTTATTTATTTTGTATGATTGTGTCTTGGCTGAAGACAGTTTTTCTCATGGAAAAATTGGATACAGTAATAGCTGAATAACTGAGGAGAGAGACCCGTATGTAAGTTGTGCCTCATATGTCAGATTACACATCCTGAATTAATGGGAGTGAACACTGAGGCCACCAGATTCCCTCCTACTGGGATAAGGGGAAATGGAAAAGAACACAGGTCGCACCTTAGAGCTAATTAACTGTTACAGTTGACTTTAGAGGAGGCCATTTCCCTCTCAGTGGAGAAACCTTGTTTGGAGACTGGACAAAAGCAATGGAAGAGGGATTGATTCTCAAAGGAAATAGATCCTAGGGTATCTGATTGCTGGCTACCTGTTCTTATTTAGCTGTGTTGGTCTTTAATCTTTGTAGTCCACCTTGTCAAGGTGAAAAGAAAAGCAGCATGGCAGTAACTTGTGTTATCCTTTTTATTTTTAAACTTCAGGCTGTTGATGTTAGAGGTAACACCTTTCTGATAGGACCCTAGGGTGATATCACCCCATGACATTTATGTGGTTGGCTGTTCTTATTTCTCTGTTTGATTCCTTTCACTTCTTCCTCTAGTCCCCCATTGACTGTCATAAAATATAACCTGCCTGTGCCTATGGAAGGTTTGCCTTACGGTGACTGGTAGGTCATATGCTTATTCGTTGTACTCCTTGCACTGAAGGGATTAGCCTCATGACATGGCTAACATTATGGGATGGGTGCAGTGACAGAGGAATAAATCAGTCCCTTCTTGCTGACTTTGTCTCAGTAGAGAACATAGTTTACAACCTAGAAATCTGTGCTTGCTGGGCAGATCCCCCGCATTTGTGGCTCTCTTCACAAGCCTGGAGGCACCCTTTAGCACTTTAATCTCAAACCTAGATTTGAGAAAAAACACTGTTCTAATTGTATCATGAATCATTATCATTATTTAAAGCAGCTGAGCCTTGGTTATCTATTGAGCATCCAGTTAGGCAGAGAATTAGCCACAACCTAAGTCCTGTGGGCCTGCTGGGCCTCTTGCCTCCTCGTCAGAGCTGCAACAGAACAGAGTCTTTCTTCAGTCCTAGCCTCAGAGCTCTGCTTCATGGCGAGTGAATTTTCCCTGCAGCTGCCTAGGCACTCTCTTCTATAGGCCCTTTCTCTAGTCCAGACCATGCTCCGGTGTGTTCCTGGCACTGTTCCCTGGTGCCTCCCCAGTATGTAGTTGCCTACTGTTGGGCAGTAGTAGCTCACTGCTCTGGCATCCTGGTGTGTAAATATTTGTCAAAGGATGGGGGCATTTTCCCATTCCTCAAAAAGCATTCTGAAAAATTTGCCTGTTTTCTTAGTCATATTTCCAAGCTGTGGATCAGTTAGTCCATTCATTCCTTGCAGTTGACAGACATTGGCCTGGCCTCCACTGGCCACATAAAGTAAGTATGCAGTACCTTCCGGCACAATAACTTTCAATCTCATAGACAATATAGTCACTATTAGAGAAGACATTGTTTCATTGACTAAACATACCCCATATCAAACATTTTAATTAATTTAACTCACACTTGAACTGAAGACATGAATGGAATCCACAAAGATGAGAAAGCCAACTGTATGATCTGGGAAAGAACTTGTGCTTTTCATCTTCGTGACTTTACTGTTAAGCCTCATATAATGTAGGCTTTTATAGTACAGTCCTGTCTGCTTCAAGAAAAGTGACACTGCTGACCTATCACCAGTTTACAAGTGTTTTTCCAGTATAGTTGATGGCTTATACTATCATTTGTACTACTTGAGACCAAGACCGTTTGCCTCTGCAGTACGGCGTTTTAGGCTGAAAAGGCAGTCTTTAACCACGGATCAGAATCAAGTGTCCCAAATATAAGGTTTTATTCTTAATCTTAACTTGATTAATATTAGACTCTGACTGAGCTCATAATCTATTTAGATTACCCACAGAGTTCCCTTACACATTGAAGTAACTGCTAACATACTTCACTAAATTGGTTGCTTTCTTTCCTTTTCTTTGAGTTTTATCCTCTAATATCTCTTCCTCCTCATTCTCCAGTCTTCTGACCTAAGCCTTAGTCTTCTACAAGTCTGCCCAGCATCTGCCCATTTATATCCCCAAACCCATGATAGATTAATAACCTTTTCTCTTTTTGCTATTTATAACCACTTCAACCTTCTCCCTTCTAGGCAGAATTTATATAGAGAGATGAGGCTGTTTGATGTTAACATATTTAAAAAAATTTTTTTTATTTAATTTTGTTTGTTATTATTTTTTAATTTGACGAAAGAAGGTGAGAGAGAGAAAGGGAGAAAGCAAGCTGCCAGGTCCAAGACTCAAACCGTGGTTGACCATGTAGAAGTCCAGCTCCTTAACCACCATGCCACCTGCCAGCCGCTGATGTTGACATCTTAATTGGATTGATTAGGAAACAGTATCATGCAGTTCGATATAAAAACTGCTTGAAAAATAAAAATTGCCAGAGGACGATGTGTGTGCTCACTGAAGAGAAACACAGTGAGAGAGAGAGTTAAAAAGCAGCACTTATGGGAGATGGTCATGCTTCATTCCCTTCTCTGTTTCTCCTGCCTTTCAGGATTTTAGGCACACATGCACATGTGCCTGGCATGTTTTTCAAGTTACTGGGTCTAAGACTTGAACCATGCAGTTGGCCACATAGGACCCAGCCACCTTAACCACTTTACAGCCAACTGGCCTCAAAATTGCTTTTGAAAGGCCTACTTTGGAACTAGGTAGAAAGGCCTGAGTGTCTATTCTTAATACAAATCATTTCTTCCACAGATCATCAATTTCTACATGAATATGCTGATGGAGCGAAGTAAAGAGAAGGGATTGCCAAGTGTGCATGCATTTAATACCTTTTTCTTCACTAAGTTAAAAACAGCTGGTTATCAGGCAGTGAAACGTTGGACAAAGAAAGTGGATGTATTTTCTGTTGACATTCTTTTGGTACCCATTCACCTGGGAGTGCACTGGTGTCTAGCTGTGAGTACCTCCTTTATTTTTGAAATCTGCATAATTATAAAACACACAGAGGGTAGTGAGTAGTTCCTTTGCTTGATTACTGATAGAAAGCATAGTGTTTGGTGGTAGGTTGGCTAAAAGTCAGATGATGAACTTCATGTCAAGGGTGGGAGATTTGTAGACTTTGAAGAAAGTTGTGGAATTTCCTTTTCTGGAAATATTTAAAAAGGGAGTTACAGGGTCTCTAAGCAGCCTCAAGAGAAAAAGTGACTTCTTGATGCTGACAGTTCAGATTCTGTGACTGATTTTCTTCCTAATCATGCCTTGCCTTGCATACTTGGTAATTTAGTATTTTTTATGATTGAGAACATGGACCATTAGCATAATGTGTTCATATAAATCAAAAAGTTATTTCATAGTCTGTTTTGAATTACTTTTGAAAAACCTAAAGGCAAGAGGATATTTTCAAAGTAAAGAAACGAAACCCAGTCTCATTTCACCGTCTTTCCGAAACTGTGTGGAAGTGATCTCAAGATATTCAACTTAACATTCTCTGAATTGTAATTTTTCCCCCTGTTGCCTACCTTGCAGAGGGAGACCCTCAACACTAGAAAAAGGTGTCAGGCCAATAATGGGGCCACCAATTGCTCAACTCCTCACAGTTTTATGTAAATCATCTCCTCCTCCTTTCCTCTACAGCTCAGACATGATATAATGCAAAAGCGTCATGATTTTGCAGGAAATCTGACAAAGGCTCCAAGAACCAGGGAAGGGAGAAGCTGAGAACAATTTTCTTTACTTTGTAAATGCAGGATTTTTTGTTGTTGTTTCTATTCCCAGGTTGTGGACTTCAGGAAGAAGAATATTATCTATTACGACTCTATGGGTGGGATAAACAATGAAGCCTGCAGGATCCTCTTGTAAGTTGAGGACAAAAGAGTTTGGTGTTGAGTATATGTTGCTTTCCAGCAGCTGAACTCAGTAGTTTGATATCTTATATAAAATAAAAATGGGGACCAGCAAGTGGTGTGGTGGTTAAGGTGCCAGAATTCCCACATGGTTGACTATGGTTCAAGGCCTGGACCTGGTGACTTGCTTTCTCTCTCTCTGGCAAAACTCATGTGAAAAAATAATATAATAATAAACAAATAAAATTAAGAATTCTTTTAAAAAATAAATAAAAATGGATATTTTACATCTAACTAAGTGTAATAGTAATTTAATAATACTAACGATATGTCCTCATGGGAATACTGCCTAGTGCACTAAAATATAGAGTGGATATAGATATATATACCAGGAACCATTTGGTGCAACCTCCCGATGAGACCCACTTGAGGTGATGCTTGATTTCCTACTATTTAGTGGCTCAGTTGGGAACCAGAATGCAGATCTCTTTATACCCTACCTGTTTTTCTTTCTCAAACACCTGTTCTTCACCATTCCACTCTGATGGCCAGGAGGATATAGATTCCAGAATGATGAGCAGTTTCCATTTTTTAAAAGTACTCTATAAGAGGTGGCATGTATTCCTTTTTTATGAAAATGATTGAAGTTTTATACAGAGAAACCAAGGCTAATGGTGAATGAATATATACCTTGATATAGAGAAACATTTTTCATCCATTAGATGGAATTTTAAAGGACCATATAAGCCAAAAAAAAAAGAACATAAAATTGTTCCTCAGGAGGAACGATAGGTAGGAGTTCTTATCAGGGTACATGTTCCTTTTGGGTTGACAGAGAGCATTAATTGTGGGAGTCATAAGAGGCAAGTTCAGTTCTTCAGGGAATCCTTAGCAGTCTAAGGATTCCCTGCCCAGCATTATGTGATGTTTCCTCAGAAAGGCATATGAAACTCTTCCTAAGAATTGGCAGCCCCATTCTTAGGGTGGCACCTGTCATCAGTATTCTCCAGGGCTCATCTTGTTCTCTTCTTTTACCTTTAGGCAATACCTAAAACAAGAAAGTATTGACAAGAAAAGAAAAGAGTTTGATACCAATGGCTGGCAGCTCTTCAGTAAGAAAAGTCAGGTACATTTATCTCAATGAGATGGAAATCCTGAGTAGGTACTGGGGGAGGAAAGAATTTTATTGCTTGACTTCCAGGGACGGTCTATCTTAGTGTCTAACTGAACTGACTTCAGCTTGGTTGCTTATTCCTTGAAGATAGATTAAGCTGTTTGTGAGAAAACTGGTAATGTATTTCATATAAAACTAGATTTTCTAAATACTCAGCTACTTTGCTTAATTTTTCACTCCTATGGGAAAGGTTTTCTGATTGCTTGGCCCTTGGGGGAGGGATCAGTTTTTTATACCCTTAGGTGGCCATGGAAATCTAAAATGTTCTCCTACGTGGTTAATGTACAATTCACAGACCTTACTGAAATTCTGATTTTGTTCTTCCTTTGAGGCTCTGTTGTCCTGAATGTTGTCCCCTATTTTCCTTATTCAAAATTCAGGGAAACCTATATAATTTATATCTTTTGGTCTTTTTCTTAATCTAAGAAGGAAAGAAACTTATAAAAATGTCACCTTGTTTTTGTTCAGGAAATTCCACAGCAGATGAATGGAAGTGACTGTGGGATGTTTGCCTGCAAATACGCTGACTGTATTACCAAAGACAGACCAATCAACTTCACACAGGTGAGTGCAGCCTTCAGGAGGGTGCTTACAGCCCTCTTGTCTCCAAGCTCCCTCTAGATGTTTTTCTCTCCTCTTACTCTCCTTAGAGGACTCTGCCCTGATCTTTAGCCTGTGACTCAAAGCACTGGTAGTTACTACCTAGGCCACATCACCAAAAAAAAGGAATATGGTGGCAAACTACAGCCTGAGTTACTGTACATCACATATTACAGTAAAGGAAGCTTGGTCGAGAGCAGCCTTCTCTTCCCATCTCCCTTACCTCTCTCAAATCCTAAAAGAAACAAAGAATTGGTACTGAAATTAGTCTTTAGTTTGCCTGTATTTAGTTAGCAGTCAGGTTTTTTGGTTTTTTTTCGGTAGAGGTTTTTGCCTTAGGGTACATGCAGTCACTGGACAGAGAGAGAGACAGCGACAGAGAAACTGAGAGAAAAAGTACGAAATCAACCCCCAGGGAGGATGGCCACACTGCAATCCTTTCTCCTCCATTCTCCTCCCAGGATCTTAGGTATGCACACACAGGCTTCCAGTGTGAATTTCAAGCCACTGTGCCCGGGACTCAAACCACAATCGGCCATGAGAGTCCAGTAATATAACCGCTATGCTATCTGCTGGCCCCAGCGATCAAGTTTTAAAATAGGCCCTACCTTTATCTTCCAGTGTAATTTGTTATGCTGCCCTCTAACTTGACACAGCTGGGCTGTCTTCTCTTAGTGTGTGATTGGTCATTTCTATCCTCCTGGTTCTTCAGAGACATAAATTCTAAGTTCAACATAGAAAATTTGTTAGATAAGTCTTATTTTGTTTTCAGAATTCTTGGAAACATTTGAGCATGGCTTGGAGACTCCTGTTAATGCCAGTAGAACTTTTAAGTCTGTAGCAATGAAAAGTAGCAATAGAAATAGCAGTAAAAATTTTAAAAAATTTTAAAAAGACAGTGGAAAGAAAAAACAACATGTAATCAAGAAAGAACAATTTAAAAGACCGGAAACACAACTGAGACTATGTTATTTGGAAACCTTTAGGAGCAAAGGAGCATGGGAAAAGTAGTATTGTATCTAGATAAAAGAGATAAAATTTAAGGGTGTCATCTCTGTGTCCTTACAGCAACACATGCCGTACTTCCGGAAGCGGATGGTCTGGGAGATCCTCCACCGAAAGCTCTTGTGAAGACTGTCTCAGAAGACTCTTTTCCTCGTGGGGGACCAGCTCTTTGTTGTCTACAGCCAGAGACCTTGGAAATGGCTGCTCCCAATCCTCTGTTCTTATAAAGCCCTTGATCCTGGACCAGGCCCTGGCGAGATGCATTCACAAGCACATCTGCCTTTCCTTTTGTATCTTAGATACTATTTTTGCAAAGAAACTTTGGTGCTGTGAAAGGGGTGAGGGACATCCCTAAGCTGAAGAGAGAGACTGCTTTTCACTTCTTCAGTTCTGCCATCTTGTTTTCAAAGGGCTCCAGCCTGACTTAGTCCCTAATTAGGGGACTGAGAAAAGCTTGGAAGGAATCTTGGTGTTAGGCCTTACTAAGAAGTAGGAAAAGGCATGGACAAGAAGATAGGGATAAAAACCACCAGCACATACATGCACATATACGTACACATGTGATTCTAAGATGTGTAGTCAGGAATATGACTATCAACTGGACTTTGGGGCACCTGTGTAGGTCCCCTCCTCTAGGACTTTTCCTACTTAAATGCCCCTATGTGAAATCCATCTGCTTCTATATAAGGCTATTAGATCATTCGTAGCTTCATGAGCCCTGGGCAGACCCTGCGATCCCAGACAGTCCATTTCCCAAAAGCAGGGGTTTGCATGTGCTCACACCACATGAAATGGGGAAGACCCACCCAGGGAGTGGTTCAGTGGAGCAACAAGCACTACTTTCACTGTTGCCTGCTTCTGACCAAGAAGAAGAAGGACCTCAGTCTTTAGCATAAAATTCCAGTGTTAGATGAATGCAGGTCTAGTTTGATCTGTGGCTAGTTTAAATATGTTTCTAACCACAGAAAATTTATGTGTGTTTGTGTGTATATATATATATATATATACATACATATATATGTATATATATACATATTTCATATATGTGTGTGTGCATATATATCTATATCTGTGTGCACATACACATATATAAAATATTTCACAGGGATATGCTTTTTATTTAAAGACTGAATGTGTTCACCCTTTAGCCTGTAGATTTAGTTCCATTTTTCAAATTCCAGCACACAGATCCCAGCCCCTATGTGTAGGGTGTTTGTGGACTTCCTAACAAAATATATTGAGGCCTGGATGGATTTTGGCTTAGGGGTCAAGGTTACAGAAGAAGGTGAGATTTTCAGATGAAAACGGGTGGAGTTTGAACTGATCAACTTGAGATTTTGTTTTGTTCTTTCTAGCATCTCTCCCATCCCCTCCCTCTGAGAGCTCCTCAGGCTTAGATAGTAAATGATCCAATGCCAGTGTCATTTTGTACTTAAGTTCCAAAACAGGAACGTTTTATACTTTTTTCTGTATTGTAATAGGTAGTTTTGTATAAAATCTCTTCCCTTCTACCCCATCCTTTCCAGCATTGTGCTTTCTCCCTGGGCTTATTTGAAAATTTTACTCTGTTTTATACCAAACTTGTTTAGTACATTTTTCTATGTTTTATCACAAGTTACAATTTGAAAAGAAAACTATTTTTTTTAAATATTCCATTGTTAACTGAATGTTACTGTTTCCACTCCAGCAACTAGATGTCCTACCTTTTTCATAATTGCTTGCCTTTGGGGGAAGACCACCTTTTGTGTGTTTGTTTTCATTCTCTCTTCCTTTGTTTCTCTCTCTCTCTCTCTCTCCTTTTTTTTTTTTTTCTTTTTTTAAGTTTCCTGTAGGAAATAAATAGCTTTCTACATATGAGTTGTGGGGACCATTCACATTCTCTTTTAGAAAGCTGTGGCATAGAGACTCATTGTAGGAGTCCTGGAATATTGTCTTCATTCTTGATACTGTATTTAAGTGACAACTTGAAAAGTGGCAATATTATGTAGATTTGGACTGTGAATCAAAAAATTTTCAGGCCTCTCTGTTGTCTGGGGGACTCACAACAAGATAGTTATCTGTATTTATTGTTTGTTCATTTAGATAACATCTGTCTTACCTTCCTCACAGACTTTTTGTATAGACCAAAGCAACAAATATTTATTGCCATGTATAGCAGAAAATGAAACATGCAACAAAAGCACTTTGAAAAATATATAAGAAATTGCTGAGCCTGTCTGAACTTGGCTCCCCTTTCTGACCAATGCAGTTTTGCTCTAGTTAGAAGTTAGTGATCCTGGGCCAGCCCCACGGCCTAGTGATTGAAGGAGTGGGATCCCATATGGCGAACCTTATGGTTCAGATTCTGACCTGGCAGCTTAAAAAAGACACTGGGCATGTGTACTTGCCTGCCCCAAATCCCAACAGGATGGAGAAATGGAAAAGAAGGGATTGTGGCTTGACCATGCCCCATTGTGGGGTACTTTTTCTTCTCTCACAAACCCTCTAGCAAGTGTGAAAAAAGCAAACAAACAAAAAAACCTGCTAGCAATCCTGAGCCCACCCTACCACTCAAACTGGTAGAAGTGAGCCGCGCTAAGACATACGTTGTGGCCTACAATGGCACAATGAAAACCAGATACAAACTTAGATAGTTGACCATTCTGGAGAGAGAGCCAGCAAAAGCACAGCTATTACCTGGAAAATATCTCCTTAACCGAGAGGTGGGCTTTGATGACTAAGAAAAAAGACATTTCTGCATTTCATGACCAAGGATATGTTACCAGTATTTTGTTTAACTTCCTTTAAAGCCCATTTCTTTTTCTCCTGTCTTCCCCTTTTCACCTGTGCTTATAATCACCTACCTCCTCTATTAAGGCGTACTTGAGGGACAATAAGCACCAAAGGCCATATGTGGAAATGTCAACAGAACCATAGCCCCAGCACTCACTCCTGGACCTTCAGGAAAAAGCAGACACATTCTGCCCATTTGAGAACACGTGGTCAGAAACAAAGAATTGGTACTGAAATTAGTCTTTAGTTTGCCTGTATTTAGTTAGCAGTCAGGTTTTTTGGTTTTTTTTCGGTAGAGGTTTTTGCCTTAGGGTACATGCAGTCACTGGACAGAGAGAGAGACAGCGACAGAGAAACTGAGAGAAAAAGTACGAAATCAACCCCCAGGGAGGATGGCCACACTGCAATCCTTTCTCCTCCATTCTCCTCCCAGGATCTTAGGTATGCACACACAGGCTTCCAGTGTGAATTTCAAGCCACTGTGCCCGGGACTCAAACCACAATCGGCCATGAGAGTCCAGTAATATAACCGCTATGCTATCTGCTGGCCCCAGCGATCAAGTTTTAAAATAGGCCCTACCTTTATCTTCCAGTGTAATTTGTTATGCTGCCCTCTAACTTGACACAGCTGGGCTGTCTTCTCTTAGTGTGTGATTGGTCATTTCTATCCTCCTGGTTCTTCAGAGACATAAATTCTAAGTTCAACATAGAAAATTTGTTAGATAAGTCTTATTTTGTTTTCAGAATTCTTGGAAACATTTGAGCATGGCTTGGAGACTCCTGTTAATGCCAGTAGAACTTTTAAGTCTGTAGCAATGAAAAGTAGCAATAGAAATAGCAGTAAAAATTTTAAAAAATTTTAAAAAGACAGTGGAAAGAAAAAACAACATGTAATCAAGAAAGAACAATTTAAAAGACCGGAAACACAACTGAGACTATGTTATTTGGAAACCTTTAGGAGCAAAGGAGCATGGGAAAAGTAGTATTGTATCTAGATAAAAGAGATAAAATTTAAGGGTGTCATCTCTGTGTCCTTACAGCAACACATGCCGTACTTCCGGAAGCGGATGGTCTGGGAGATCCTCCACCGAAAGCTCTTGTGAAGACTGTCTCAGAAGACTCTTTTCCTCGTGGGGGACCAGCTCTTTGTTGTCTACAGCCAGAGACCTTGGAAATGGCTGCTCCCAATCCTCTGTTCTTATAAAGCCCTTGATCCTGGACCAGGCCCTGGCGAGATGCATTCACAAGCACATCTGCCTTTCCTTTTGTATCTTAGATACTATTTTTGCAAAGAAACTTTGGTGCTGTGAAAGGGGTGAGGGACATCCCTAAGCTGAAGAGAGAGACTGCTTTTCACTTCTTCAGTTCTGCCATCTTGTTTTCAAAGGGCTCCAGCCTGACTTAGTCCCTAATTAGGGGACTGAGAAAAGCTTGGAAGGAATCTTGGTGTTAGGCCTTACTAAGAAGTAGGAAAAGGCATGGACAAGAAGATAGGGATAAAAACCACCAGCACATACATGCACATATACGTACACATGTGATTCTAAGATGTGTAGTCAGGAATATGACTATCAACTGGACTTTGGGGCACCTGTGTAGGTCCCCTCCTCTAGGACTTTTCCTACTTAAATGCCCCTATGTGAAATCCATCTGCTTCTATATAAGGCTATTAGATCATTCGTAGCTTCATGAGCCCTGGGCAGACCCTGCGATCCCAGACAGTCCATTTCCCAAAAGCAGGGGTTTGCATGTGCTCACACCACATGAAATGGGGAAGACCCACCCAGGGAGTGGTTCAGTGGAGCAACAAGCACTACTTTCACTGTTGCCTGCTTCTGACCAAGAAGAAGAAGGACCTCAGTCTTTAGCATAAAATTCCAGTGTTAGATGAATGCAGGTCTAGTTTGATCTGTGGCTAGTTTAAATATGTTTCTAACCACAGAAAATTTATGTGTGTTTGTGTGTATATATATATATATATATACATACATATATATGTATATATATACATATTTCATATATGTGTGTGTGCATATATATCTATATCTGTGTGCACATACACATATATAAAATATTTCACAGGGATATGCTTTTTATTTAAAGACTGAATGTGTTCACCCTTTAGCCTGTAGATTTAGTTCCATTTTTCAAATTCCAGCACACAGATCCCAGCCCCTATGTGTAGGGTGTTTGTGGACTTCCTAACAAAATATATTGAGGCCTGGATGGATTTTGGCTTAGGGGTCAAGGTTACAGAAGAAGGTGAGATTTTCAGATGAAAACGGGTGGAGTTTGAACTGATCAACTTGAGATTTTGTTTTGTTCTTTCTAGCATCTCTCCCATCCCCTCCCTCTGAGAGCTCCTCAGGCTTAGATAGTAAATGATCCAATGCCAGTGTCATTTTGTACTTAAGTTCCAAAACAGGAACGTTTTATACTTTTTTCTGTATTGTAATAGGTAGTTTTGTATAAAA